GTGGGGATGGAGTTTTGCTCAGTTGCCCAGGCTGCTGGAGTGTGTGGCACAATCATGGCTCACTGCAGCATCGATCTCCCGGGCTCAAATGATCCTCCCATCTCAGCCTCCCAAGTAGCTGGGACTACAAGTGTGCATCACCACACCTGGCTAATTTTTGTATTTTTTGTAGAGACAGGGTTTTGCCATATTGCCCAGACTGGTCTTGAACTCTTGGATTCAAGTGATCTGCCCTGCTCAGCCTCCCAAAGTGCTGGGGTTATAGGAGTGAGCCACTGTGCCCAGCCCAAAGTATACATTTTTATGTTGAAAACTCATTGCTTGTTAAATGATCAGTAGTACCACCTTGAAATTTGTTTGCAAAATGACTTTTCAATGATGAATAAATGTTTTGATTAATGTTATATGTAAATCTCTTAATCCTTCATTTTAACTGCATGTGAGGAAGAAATGTTCACCACGAGTTGATTTGCCATTATGAAGCCTCTTTTAAAGTTTCTCTGCAGACACTCATCTTTTAGAAAACTATTTGAAAGAGAAGTTTCTCTAAGTATAGTATTGATGGTAGTAGTGCTGTAACAAAGACATAAGCAAGATTTATAATTTAATATATTGGGAAAACAGTATTGGGAGATAGGTCTTTTCTAATTTTACAAAAAAAAAAATTAGTGAATCTTTTAGTGCAAAACAGTTTATTTTAAAGTATGTTTTATAAAGTAGACCTCTGCTTTTAAATTTATAAAGGCCTCCCTTTTAAAAGGGGGGACACAATAAAGAATTGCCTTTAGTTATCAGGATTTTTTAAAAAAATAACTTTATTTTGTACTTTGTAATTGATTAACAGAAATTTCCGATAGTATCAACAGATCTGGCCTAATGATGCATTATCTTTATATGCAGGAAATTTTCATTTATTTTTCTGGCCTTTTCTCAATTCATGAAGTTTATAGATACTTGCTCTACTTTATTTTTTTTTGGATCAAAGACACAAAACACAGAAGGACTTCAAGAGAAGAAAGATGTTAGCTATTTTCTGGGCATATGCCTCATAGGACCTTTTAGCACTTAAGTGGAACAAAGTCGATCTGCCTATATTTATATGCATTGTCTTACCTGCCTTCACAGCTGAACTACCAGCAGAAAGTAGGCATCATGTACTGCAAAGCTGGACAGAGCACTGAAGAAGAGATGTACAACAATGAGTCAGCTGGCCCAGCCTTTGAAGAATTCCTTCAACTATTGGGAGAGCGAGTTCGGCTCAAAGGATTTGAGAAGTATCGCGCACAGCTTGATACCAAAAGTAAGAAATACTTAGACCTTCCTACTAGCTTATTTTCCCCCTGCTGTGCTTTGTACATCTGCTAAATTATCTGTAAAACAACATTGCCATTTATTGCAGAAAAGTGCTGGTGATGGGGGAGAGAAAGCCAGAGAGGAAGGACGTAGCACCAGAACAGTCGAAGATCATAACCAAAGTAGCTAGAATTAGACTGTTAAAAAAAATAATGTTGTCAGAGGTGTGTGGATGGAGGAGGGCAGTGGCACAGATCGCGCAGAATTGCTCCTGGATAGCATTACATAAATTTCATTACATCTAGCCAAATGTTAGGGCGATTAAAAACTCCGGAACCTTGCAACCATCTAAGTGTAATCCTAGAATTTTTGATTTCCATTAATTCATTTCATAGTCTTCATGTTCATCTATGTAGTCAGCCTTTGTTTTTGTTTTTTCATATTCTTTTCATATCTAGGGTTTTTGTTTGTTTCTATTATTATTCACAGTCTAATCTCTGAGAAAATAGGCTTTTAAGCTTCCTTTTAGTTTACCTCATAAAATGTGTTGATTAAAGGCATGATAATGAAACAGTCTGTTTATGGTGCATGAACCTAAAAGGTTGTCTACACCGAGTCCCCAAGTTGTCAATAAAATAGCTAACATTCTCAAATATCTATTTTGATTAGCTGGGACTAACTGAAGAGTGTGTTGACTTTTGCTATGTGTCTGTGTGAAGGCAGTTTTAAATTTTATCTTTAAATTCATCCATAGACACCTGTGATCTGTTTTTCTTTGAGAGGGTCTTTGGATTAGCACATCTGTATTGCAGTCTATAGTAATCTCTCTGATTTTCTGTACAGGAAATTAAATAAGGAGTTGAGTCATGAAAACAGAAAGCATTCATAAACTCCACTGCAGGGAAGAATTTCCTGTTGCCATGGTTTTGCTGTTGCCAACTTGGAAACGACATGCAAGAGAGACTATTAAAACCCATAAATAGCCTAGCCGCTTAAATATTATTTTAACATTCTATACTCTGCTTGCAACTGCATAAATATGTTAAATTTCAATATCTCCTCAAACTCTTTTTATCCAGGTATTCTGATATTCACCATGTACAGTTCATTCATGTGGCCCCCATTTGTTGTGCTGTATAAATTATCACTACCACAAAAAATTATTGAAGGGATCTGGGAAGAGAATGTGTAATAAGCCCAGTGATACTAGAAATGAACGGTCATATTGGGAGTTGATAAGATTGTGCATTATCTGTGATGAAGGGTGATGTGAGAAATGTATAGCTGGGGTATCGTTAAGCAATGTGGCATGTAGTAAGGCAGTGGAATACACAAAATAAGTACTTTGTGCACAGTTTGCCCAATTATCCCAACAACTGCAAAGGCTAGAGGGGGATGACCCTGGATTAGCAAACAGCCTCTTACTGTAGTTTTAGAGTCACATAATACATTCAACAGGGAAAGATTCTTTTTCACTGAACTACTGTCCTTTAAGTAGTTCAAATTTATGAGGCATGTCTGACCTTTCAGGTCATATTTCCTGAGAAGGAGTCACAGAAAAGCATCCTTTTCTGTCCTTTTAAAATGTCACATTTCCTAAAATGTACAAAAAGTAGGAAAGTATTCCAACTCTGAAGCCCCTAAGAAGACAGTATGCAAAATCATCTCTTTTACCTCAAGCTTATTAATAGGTGCAAAAACTAGAGGAGTCCATTCACAATGCCATTTAAACCTGTATTAAATAATAACAGACCACCAAAATAGGCAGCAACCAGCCTCTGTACACCTAAGCCGCCACCTACTTGGCATAACACTACTAGAGATAAGACTTTGTTCCATGTGCTGTGATGTAATCTCACAATACTTAATCTAACTTTATTTTGTGTCAAGAAACTTTGAATATAATTCTTTTTCTAAAAAAGTGCTTTTCAGAACAAATGTTCAAGAATCATTCCCACTCTAGATGTCACTTGAATCTGTGGGTTTGTTGTATTTATCAAATTTAAGTACTTTTTGCTGTTATTTCTTTATTTTTTCTGTCTTACCTCTCTTCTCTCTGAGACTCCAATTACACGTATGTTGTATCACTCGGTAGTGTACCACAGGTTAATGAGACCCTGGTTCTTTCCTGCGCCCCCCCCCCAACTTTTTTTTTTTCTTCTGTCCTTCAGTTTGGATAATTTCTGTTGATAGATCTTCAAGCTCCTTGTGTTTTTCTTTTCATCCATGGTGTCTTAATTCATTGTTAATCCCATACAATGAAATTGCCATTTAAGATACTGTGTTTCAGGGCCGAAAGGTGCATTTGATAATCTTTTTAAAAGTCTTCTATTCTCACCTCACTAGGTTCATGCTGTCCTTCAAATCCCTGAACATATTTATAATAGTTGTTTCAAAATGTTCATCTGCTAATTTCATCGTTTCTCTCATTTTCAGTTTCCTTTTTTAAATGGAATTCCTCCTGCTTTGAGTTACATTTTACTTCCTCACTTGTCTCCTTTTTTTTGATAAGATACTGGATATTTTAAATGTTTCATTGTCAAGTGTCTTAATGTTGTTACCTTTAAGTGTTGAGCTTTGTTTTGGCAGGCAGTGAAGTTGCAGAACAGCATGATTTTTATGAGTCTTACTTTTTAAGCTTTGTTAAAGTATACCTAGAGTAGCTTTTACTCTGGCTAACTTAGCCGCACTACTAAGACATGACTTTTCTTGCACTTCAATACTTGCATATTCAATTGTATCTACTATGACTGCTCAGAACTCCAATGTCTCCCAATCCAGTGTGAACTGTAGAATGATTTGGCTCGTAATTCCTTGGTAGTTGGTCTTTCCCTAAAATTTTGTCTTTGCTAGGCTTTTGGAATTTATGCATGTGCAGCTTACTGTCCAACTCAAGACTCAACAGACCCTATATAGATTTCTGAACCTTTCATCTGAGATTTCTTTCTCTTTGGTATTCTGCCTAGCAAATACCAGCCACCTCAGACTTCCTGAACTCTAGTCTGCCTTGGCTTTCCCCTTCAGTGCTCCGCTCTGTGTCACTGTCCCCGAAGTGTCTCAAGGTGGAAAGCTCAGGGATCATAGGGCTCATCTTCTTTATTCCTTTTTCTCAAGTATCACTATGCAATGCTGCCTATTGTCCAGTGTCTGCAAACAGTTGTTTCAGGTATTATATCAATTTTTCTAGTTATTCACAATGCCACGGTGCATGCTATATCAAGCACTTCGTTATGGCTAGAAGCAGAAGTCCCAGATACTTTTGATATATATGCCATCTCATTTAATTCCCACAAACCTGCTGAGATACCATTTATTCCCACTTCACAGAATTGGCTTCTTTAGATTAAGTAACATGCCCATGATTAGATAGCTAGTAAGCATTAGGGAAGTAGTACAGATCCCAATAGTGTGGGTAATGAAGTGTTTAGAGAAAGCATAAACCTGGAATGAAGCACAGCAAAGCCCCAAGACCGGCCTTTAGCCTGTGTCTTCCTCCCTCTTAAGCCCTTGGGCTAACAGTACCCAAACCAGCTCATGAGATAGCACTACTTCTCATACATTATGATCATATTGATATCTTAGTACTTTCATAAAGGAGGAGAGGCTCCAGAAAGGGAGTAATGAACTATTGAACTATTTCTTTTTCCCAGTTATCTGTACAAAGACCATCTCTGCATTTCAGAAATAAGGATTTGTGTCAAGCAGGCTGCAAATAAATATGTCACAGACTGAAACAATTCTGCAATGAAGAAATTTTTAGTAGGGGATTTTTCCTTCTTTTTTGTTTACTTATTTGGATGATATAACCTAGGTAATTACCATTCCCTCACACTACAACAGATATAACAGTAAACTTCCCAACAAGCAGTTGGTTATTTGAAAACTGGAAACCATCCTCATTTTTAGCTGTTTACGTGGATTTTTTGTTTTTTTGTGACAGAGGTTTGCTCTTTGTTGTCCAGGCTGGAGTGCAGTGGCATGATTTCGGCTCACTGCAACCACCACCTCCTGGGTTCAAGTGATTCTCCTGTCTCCGCCTCCCAAGTAGCTGGGATAACAGACCCCCACCACTACACCCAGCTAATTTTTGTATTTTTGGTAGAGATGGGGCTTCACCGTGTTGGCCAGGCTGGTCTCAAACTCCTTACCTCAAGTGATCCACCCACCTCAGCTGCCCAAAGTGCTGAGATTACAGGTGTGAGCCACCAAGCACGGCCACATAGGTTATTATGGGAAATTATTTCCTAACTGAGGCTTATTTGGCAAGTTAGTACACAGGAGAGTTAGAAGCCCTTTGTAAAGCTTTCCTTCAGAGCCCTGCCTTCAATAATTTGCTGCAATGTAGTGAATGTTTGTTGTCTCCTCCATTTCTTAGTAGTGTTATAAAATGCAGTTAAGGTTCAGGGTCTTAAAAGAGATATAAGACTTTTCACAAAGAAAATAAATCCTTCTTTATTCAGAATATAAACTTTGATAGGGAAAGGGACAGCTAGCATTGCGAAATGCTTTGCACATGCAAAGGGCTATTTGGACTTCTAGAGACTGACAAATGAAGACAAGGATTCTTTTTAAGGAAACTGCACTTTTTACCTTAACTGCACAAGATTCTAAATGCCAGCTGACACATTAATTGAGCATCTTTTATGGGCTGCCACTTTCATATGCATTATTTTACTTAATTCTTACAACCTAAAAAATATCAAGAAGCAGAGAAGTGAAGTGACTTGTTTGTGGTAATCTTGGAAATGATACTATTGGTATTCAAGTTCAGATCTTTCTTCCAAGTCGGGAATCCAGGTAATTGCAGGTATCTTGCAATGTGAACAGTAGGTAGAAAATATTAGTGGCCTAATCCTAAGTACCAGCCTCACACTAGCTCTGTTCTTTTCTCTCGATATTTTAGCAATTTTAAGAAACCGTGATCCTCAGGCACATAACCATGCATAATCACACATTCCTTAAACTAGCTCAGTATGAATTTGCCTGCAATAAGTACTAGAAACTTTT